GACGGCATCAGCGCCCTCCACCAGGTAGCCGCCAACCCCAGAGGGACTCCCGCCGTCTCCTCCGCTCCCCTCCTTTGTCCCGGCTGGGCGAAAAACGCCTGCGGAGTAGGCCCCACGGAAAGGGTTCCTCTGAGCCTGTACAGAGTGTCTTTGCCTCAGGGCAGAACATCAGAGGCGTCTTTCATGCCAGGGTCAGCTCTCTGGGAGGAGGAGCGCGCGAGGCCTCTTGCTTCGTGCCCGGGGTCACTAACCCCGGGGCTCAGCTCTGGGATGGTTGATGAGAATCAGTTTCGGAGCCGGTTTTGAAAAATGCTTTCCCGCAGCATTTCTCAGCCCTGCCCGTAGTGGTCTTTATACCTCCATGTCTAGGGAGAGGCAGATCCCCTCTAAGGATCTGCCAAGCATCTGTTCTTCATTCCACTGAGCTGCTTCTCTTCAGGCCATCCCATCCTGATATTGTCTCAGTGGGTGATTTGAGTTTTATTAGCCGAGTGGCTGCTCCCGCTTTGTAACGTGATGGCAACTCCTGCTTGCAAATGGAATAATGCATGCAGGTTGCACGTGCAGAATGAAAATGAAGGCATGTACTTCTGCTGTAGCGGTTTGGAAGAAGATATGTCATTTCAGCACAGGGTAGTTGCATACAGTGATTTCCCAATAAGTGGAGAGGGAAAAACATTTCTCAGTCACTTGGCACCTAAAGGGGCATTCTTTTATTTCTGGTTTAATAATCATAGATTTGTGGTACAAGTGTAGCACCTAATTAGCCTGGTATCTTCCAGGGATTGATTGATTATGGGCCATCAAGTCTTTTTTGACTCCCAGTGACCACACAGATAGATCTTCTCCATGATGATCCATCCCTAATCTGTTCTTTCAAGTCTCCCAATGGTGCACCCATCGCCATACTGTAACTGAGTCCATCCACATTGCTGCTGATCATCCTCTTCTTCTCTTTCCTTCCACCTTTCCCAGCATTAGAGCCTTTTCCAGAGAGCCGAGTCTTTGCATAATGTGTCCGAAGTAGGATAATTTGAGCCTGGAGTGAGAACTCTGGGTTGATTTCTTCCAGCACTTGAGGAAGAAACTCTCCAATTTTGTTTGTAGTGATCCCGTAGCTGGACATGTTGGGAATTTGTCTAGAGTCCTAGATCTTGGAATGCAATTCCTCTTTTCCTCTTGGTTTTAGAAGTCACTTTCTACATGCAAAGGTGGAGTGATTCATCCTGCTATCATCCCTGAAAGATCAAACAGTGTCATTTCTGGTCCTGCCCTGGTGAGTTCTCACTGTGTTCCTACACGGACCCTGAGGAGTGGAAAGGACTCTTTAACTTCCACTGCTCTGTCTCCAGGACTTTGGAACCATCCAAGCTGCCAGCTTGTAATTTCAAAGGCTGGGTGTGCTAAGCCGAATGTCTTATGATGGCTTGGTGCAACTTGTGTAATCCTGTAGGATTGGCTTCCCATAGTGCACACAAAGGCTTTCTGTGGAAAAGAGTTTCTGCCTTTCCCTGAAGCACTTGCTGTTTTCATGATGGCTGAAGAAGATGCTGCCTGGCAGGTCCTGAAAAAAATTCAGTCAGGGAAGAAATGAATTAGAAACAGGTGAGGAAGGCTTTAATGCTTAGCCAGTTCATGATATTATTTTTCTAACTTCCCATGATATCAGTCTTGTACATAAACACATGACAATTTACTGTCCCACAGTTTTTCCCATGCTTACGTGTATGTATATTAGTCACCTGTAGCAAAATTGAAACCAAGAAATTCTCTTTTTGCTTTCTTTTCTGGTCACCTGGAGTTGATTGCAAGCAACCAAATGAACAGCTGTATATGTGCTAGTCTCCTTTTATGAGACACATGTACATGGTATGTCAAGCTAGTAGTCACTCCTCACAGCTTTATCCTGCTAATGTGTATGACTACCACAAGAAGTCACATACAATATGGAAATGAAAACTTACTGTAATGTCTGAACTCAATTCTAGCTTATAAAGAATAAAACACCAGTATATTCCAAGGTTGGACATTATGGTACAGTGAGTCTTTCAGGTCAGCTTCGCCACTAGCAAGAGGACCAAAGAATGAGTAAATGCTGAATTTGCACATTGTTTTAAGCCATTGTTTCCTTAATCATGGCTTGTTGAAAAAGCCACAACTGATAAAATGCATATTTTGTTGCTGCTGATGTGGCTGTTTTCACACAATGTACTAACTCAAATCCAAACAAACAAAATGAAGTTTTACTGTGATAGATGAATCCAGCTGCTATGTGCTGAGTTTGTTCATGGTAAACTAGGTTCCTTTAGAATCTTGGTCTACTATTCAAACATGGCTAGTCTGATTCTGCACCATTTATGAACATTGTTTGTGACCATCCAACCCATGCTTTAAACTCTTACAATCCTCCTTCTCCTCAAGATTCACTTCCTTGTTTCTTGAATAGCCAAGCTACAGTTGCTGCTTTCAAAGAGGATAGCAAAATATGATGTTCCTGAATCAGGAAGTGAGGGAGAGCAACACAGTTCCCACTCTGGCCAACAATGCTTATTATCACAAGTGTGTTTAACGCTATAGCCCTAAGTCTTGATCTTGCTGCAGTCTAGATGAATGGACTGAAGGACACTCATCATACATATGGGTTCTGATAGGCTGAATATCTGGGAAGGGTGGCTTTGTTCCCAGTGGCAGGAGATATGATTAGCTTGCTTCTCCTTCCCTGCTTGATGACCAAGGCTGGTAACGAGAAAACAATGAACCAAATCTAGCCAGCTATCCTTGTATCTGTGACCTTCATTACACTAAAATGGATCTCAAATCCAAATATTCTCGCTTTGTACCTGGGTAGGGTGGGTTCAGCAATCAGTCCTAGGACTAATTGGTTAGAACAGAGTATCTGTTAAAGAGATCCAGGAACAAGGTTGTCTGTATTGGGTATAAATGTGGCATATATACTAAGGAATAAGTAATTGTGAATGACTACAAGATACAGCCTTGCTTTTTGGATTGTAGTTTGTTCTGGATTTCTCCATCAAGTGCCCATAAGATGCAAGGAAAAGTAGTTATGCCTAAAATAAGTATCTTCCCTGGGTTTCTCATGAGAAGGCTCTGGGGCTGCTGTCTCCTCTGTATTCTCCCCCCCCCCTGCCCCCCCAGTCTTTAATTTCACTCCTGTGAAATTTTCCATTACTTCATCCTCTTGAAGCAGTTTGGCTTCTTGCCCTGCTCCCCATCCTCCCGCCATCTCCAAATATCAATTTGTCAAACTGGCTAGGTAGTTGGAAAGGAATGGGTTCTGCTTTCTTCCCCTGTCAGGGTTGCTGTTCCGAGTTTAAGGGCAATAAATGGTGGTGGTGGTGGTGGGCATCGTGAGGATGTGGTTGGATGGGCCTTGCAATGATACTGTGATCGGTATCATGTTGAGACTTAAATCCGTATCCTGCACTCTGGGATGATAGGAAAGAGGTCTTGTGCAACATTTTTTCAGGTATTTGAGGAGTGCTATGATATTCTTCCTTGATCTTCTCAAGGTTAAACATGTCTAGTTCTTTCACCTTCTTTTTGTGGGACTTGATTTCTAATCTTGTAATCCTTGCCCTTCTCTAACCCTGTTCCATTATATCTAACCTTTTTTTTTTTACATTAAACTGTTGCATAATGCCATTCTAATGTAGAATAGTTAAGAAAGGCTTGTCCAAGGTGGCAAATTGATTGATACTGCCTGATTTATCCTGGTCCTTGGAGACTTTAGATCCTCACCCAGCCATTAAGCTCACTGGGTGACATCAACCTGGTCCTTCTCTTCCTATCTTCAGACAGTTGTGAAAATAAAATGAGGTAGGGCCAAGTATGCTGCTTTTTCTCTCTATTACTCAGGGGAGGATTAAAGATACAGATGGAATTAGCAGGGAATGATGATGCTTTGTAGAATGCATCAAATGTTTATATTTTCTTCGGTGTCCTGGAAAATATGAGTGTTGCCTCTGATGTGCCTGCTTCTTGGAACCCCAGCCTTAGCAGCATTCTCTGGATTATTCAGCCTGAGCAAGAGACTATTTGGAGGTGACAGGATTGCCGTCTTCAGATAAACTGAAGGCCTCTCTGTTAGTTCAGCTTCCTCCTAACTGGTTGCCTCCAGATTCATTGGGACTGGGAACTTTGCAAGCTGCATCACAGCTGGAAAGTGTCAGGTTGGGGAAGCCAGCTGCAGAAGGCTGGTACCTGATTAAAACACTCAAAAATATAGAAAGGGAAGTAAGATAAATGTTAGGAAGAACTATTTGATCATATTCTTGACTTGGATGACCACCTGTCAAAAGTGTGGTAGTTGGCTTCATGGGATGGGCATTGGTGGATTTGATGACCTTTGAGTTCACTTCTAACTCTTTGTTTTTGTGCATGGAGCTAGCTGAAACTGGAGCAAAGATGGCTGTCTGTCTGTCTGTTTTACTCTGCAGGGATGCACCTCCCCCCTTTTTAAATTGAGCTGAGGGCCACAACTGGCCATTGAGTAGTTTCAGTATCAGATAATATCACACACTATAAAGATGGTAGAGGAGATGACAAATTGGAAGTAACCAGGATAAAGCTAATGATTGTTAACTTTCTTCTTGTGTCATATTAAAATTACAATTCAGGGTGAACCCCTGGAGAAGCTTGAAGACCACATCCAAGAGGCAATGGTATATGGGGCCTGGAAAATCTAATTTTTCAAAGGGAGCTGCTCTGCATATGTTTTAAGAGAGCTCCTATCATTAATAATGCAACCACTGCTCATCTTCTAGGCAGTGATCACAAAAAGTGATCCTACATACTTGATACAGCCCTGGACAGGGGGCATTTTGGCCCTGTTAAGGTAGCCTTCTGGTGGTCTTGATGGAACTGCATCCTGTTTTACAGCTGTTCTCCTGACTGGCTTGGGATCTAGTCATTCTCAGAGCCCAGGTATGTTCTCCCTGCCTTGTGTTGCCAGAAGTCCTGGATGCTTATTCTTTTTGCCAGGTTGTCCTCTGACTTTTGGCAAA